ACAAACTACAAGAAGAGAAGTCTGTTTTTAAGTAGAGGAAACAATGGCTGGATTGCTTAATTCTTAAAAATTAAGTTTCTGGACTAAACTCTGCATTGGACCTGCCTTGAGACTGTGAATGTGCTTGCCCTGGAGGTTCAGAAGGCTTCCCTGACTGCTTGTTGTGTTACCCTCCCAAAGGACAGTGCTGGTGAGTGCACAGTGAAGGCTGTTTCCTCATTTAACCACTCACTGGTTGGGTTGATGCACTGGTAACCTTCTGCGCTTGACTTGGAGTTGTCTGTGCAATGCTTCCCTCTGCAGCAGCCCCAATCTAGAAGCAGATGGTAGCACCCTGTGCCAGCAATAGAGAGGCACCAAGAGTTTTATCGTGAGGCAAGTTTGAGGGTTTCTATGTTCTGCTGCCAAGGACCTTTTTTAATTCCCGTTTCCCCCAGTTTTTTCTTCCCATTCTTTGTATATTCTGTCCTAATTTTCTTTTGTTTAATGGCGCTTCACTTGAGTTATCCTAGTGCCACCTTCTTACCCCCTGCTACCAGAAATTGCTGACATCCCTGCAAGAGTGCCCAGAGCAGACATGGTGCTTGCCTGTGAGCTGCGTCTTAAAAACTGTTCAACATGTGCATGCTGAAACCACTTGCCAGGAATTACTTTGACTTAGTAGATGCTTAGCTTGGCAATAAAGTGAATAACCCAAGGAAGTCAAGTGTATGAGAGACAAATTACGTGCTCATACCCAAATTTCATAAAGTCGTTTTCCATCAGTAGTGTGGTTTTAATGCAGTTTGTATCCCTAACAAAAAATACTCGCTGAAGCCTTCAACAACATGCTTTTCAGTATTGCCAAATTTCTTTTCCAGTTCGTAGTCTTGAAAGCTCAGTGTGGGAAGAAACGGCACAAAGAGTGGCTGTTAGCGTGAAGTGGAAGGATAATCACTCTCTTATTTTAGGGCATTTGATGTCTTTGAATGGGAATCCGACCATCTGAAAGTAGGCTTTCTTTATCTGCTCTCTAATTTAATAATTATGGTTGGAGCTGTTAGAAGTTCAAAGACTCCTGAAACTAATTCAGCCCAGTTGTATTAGAGTGCACCTTGAAAATATTTATTCATACTAACCAGTCTCAGCTCCCCGATGAGGAACTGTGTTTTTAAGGTGCTGAGCACTTACTGATTCCTTTGCTTCTGGCTGGGTCGTGGAGCACTCCTAGCTCCTGAAGCCAGACTGTAAGCAAGCACTTTGGATGATGCTTCTAGGACTTCAACCTCTCTTGAGAGAGAACTTTAATTAATCTTATTTAGAATTTTTAAAATTTTGTATTAAAATAAAAAAATAATGCAGTCCTTTGTGGAGCCCTGATCTTGGCAGAGAACTGCATGTCTGCTTTATCAGTTTAGACTTCATATACTCATGCAGATGTTCCGTGAAAGGAATCTCACCCTTGTCAGTGAGAGGGTATTTTTCAGTTGATTTGCTGTAAATTTTTCAATCTAGTTTTAAAAGTATTTGTTGTAGCATTTGGTCCTTTGGCATTATTTTGAGAGAAAGCAACAGCAGATGTACTTATCTTATGGACATCTTAAGCAAAGACTTAAAAAAAAAGTTTGTATTTGTTTTGCAGTATTTATCTGCAGTATTTATGTTCCTGCGCCCGCAGGATGCCAAAGGAGAGAGACCCAAAGGATTAAATTCTGAAAAATGTGCAAAGAAACTAAGGCAGTTGTGTTTGATCTCTGGGGAAGAAGCAAGAGGCAGAGAAGGGATAGGGAAGGAGTTGGATGGTTTTGACCAGGAAAATACTTTGAATAGTAGTGTGTAGAATAGATATCAGGGGAGCATGGTTGTGTATCAAGGCAAAAGATGGGGTAGAGCATTGGTCAAGACATGAGAGCCTCACTGATGGGGACAGGAAGGCAGAAAAGACCAATGTGCAGTTACATGAAATGGTTTAGAAACTTGATTCTGTTCCAAAATGAAGCAAAGCAGGACCCAACTTGACGAAGTGCTTCTGTCCCTTGATCCATACATTATTTCTTTCCAGTTATTCTGTTTTTTGAAAAACAGGTACAGCTTTACTTATGAATGCTCTATTGAAGCAAAACTTTGCATTTCACAGGCTTTGAAAGGACAATTGAGAGAAGAAAAGGTAGAAAATTATTTTGGTCTGTTGAAATAGTGTTTTGGTTTATTTTTTAATTAAATTTTTAATGTTAAAACTGTTTCAAAACCAGTGATTTCACCCTGAAAATATCCATGTCCTTCTTAAATCATGAAAGGAAAAATAAGGAAGATGCTCTCAGGAAAATAAACACCAGTAAAAACCAGTTAAGCTGTGTCAAAGCATTGCAATTCTAGATGGTTTCATGTTCTGGCAGAGCATGCTTTCAGGCTTGTTTCCCCAGCCAGCTTTGTGTCTTGGCCCTTAACTCCATTATACTATGTTAAAACCCAAATTTGCTACCAAAAATGAGGGGTTTTTCAAATGTAGTGCCCATTCCTTATTTTTGATAAGAATTTAGCCATAGATGCAAGATGGCATGTGTTTTGGTGTAATTGTTTTTTGATTTTCTGTTCCATTTCTCAACTGCTCAAGACAGTCAGTTTTAGCTGTTTTCTTGCTCTTGTCTCCACACCTACACAGATTTCTGTCATGTTTTCATAACACAGTTATTCTGGCACATTCTCCCTCTGTTGGATGAGGACATTGGATGGAAGTGGTCTCCTTTGGGCTCCTCAGGCTCATTTCTACACACTTCTTCCTTCCCTTCCCCCCACTGATGCTATTTCCTGTGCTTTTGTATTTGCATGTTTGGGTGCAGGCAGACCCAAGCTCGGACAGACCCAAGCTCAGACCCCAGGTCTGGGTGCAGTGTTACCACATTGGCTTGCTTCTTGCACTGCCTCTATTTCAGTGCCAGCAGCTGGCAGTGAGGTAAAAGCCAGGGCAGGGTACCCTGGCCCCGTTTCTGTAGATGTTGCCATCGTCTCAAAAGGTTTTGCTGCACTCGGAAGATTACCAGCTTTCCTGTGATAACATCATAGCTTGTGCAGCAGTGGAGGCGCTTGCGTTATCTGAGTGTATACTGTGTTTCTGCAGCAAGAATGCTTTGTGCCCCTACTCAGAGGCCAAAGAATTTAGCATATGTTGCTTTTAAAGGTATAAAAGCAGATATTTCACTGTATCAGACTTGGCAAATAACTAATCGGTGAGTTTTAACAGCTGGCAGAACTACCCAGCAAATGGAAAGTCTGATAAATCACACAGGCTGGGCAGGCTGCTTGGCAGCTGAATATGTTTCAGAGATACAGAATTATTTTTTTTAAAATAGTCTTTTTTAACTTTCAGTGAAGAAGTCACATAAGCCTTGATAAATGGTTCCCAGCAGTAGACCATCTTCTCATGAAAACATGCCTGCCTCATTACATCAGCCCTTTTGTCCCCAGCATTGTGCTCATGTTCAGTATCTGCCAGGGTCCCCAAGAGTTTGGTTTTATTCTTGTTTTATTCCTTTAGGATCATGGGTCTCCAAAAAGGGTGCTCAATCCCGCAGGACTATTCCTGTGGCCATCACTTATTCCTGTGTAGTGTTATGCATACTACATGACATCTGAGCTCTTTGTTTCTTGTGTAGACGCAAACTGAGCTATTGTTCTTGTGAATCTATCCATTTTCTCCCAGCCCGATCTGTAAGGAAATTACTACTAAATGGAGAAAAGAACATACACGGTCAAACATCCTGACAAGAACTCTGTAGAAACCTGTGAAGTTAAAAAAGATGCCAATTCATAGTTACCCAGAGATCTGTTTTTAATTAGCTTGTCAATTAATCAAGTTCTGTGGTATTTTTTTGTTTTGTTCTGTGGGTTTCACAAGCAAAATGCCTCTTGGTACCAAGTACAGATCTTACAAAAGTGTGTCTCCATGGTCAGTACTATTGTCTATATCAAACAAATACCTAATTTTCTCAGAAATATTGTTATTCAGTATTATGCATCTTTTTAATCTCTGCTGACTGATGGTTATTGTAAGCAAAGAACTGGAAAGCATTAATTGGTAGCCCAGTTGTTTTTTCTGACATTGCTGTGTCCTCACAACTTGCTCTGGCATCACTGTGGCAATGATAGGTCACTTAATTACTCCAGTTCATCTGTTTGCTCTTTTTAGATGCTAGTATGTCTGCCCACTTTTACATTTCGTTGCCTTTCAGAACCTGGGAGAGGCATTGCGGATGCTCCAGACAATTTCTCACGAGCTCTCTAAAAACCCTTGCATGTGAGTTTGCCACAGCTATTCACTTACTGTCCAGCTTCTTACACAGTGGCTACTCATATCTGAAAGAGCATCTCTGAGTGGCCTCGCTTGAATCTGTGCTTGTTAACACCATGCAGCTGCATGGAGACCAGCTTTTCATCTCCTCAGCTGGTTCTAGCCCAGCTAGGATCAGCTTGGTACCATGGTTAGGTTTCCTGCCCTTAGCACAGCAACTCAGTGTTGCTGGGAGCTGATAAAACACTTGCTCTTTTTGGGAAACTGCTGGGAGGGTTGTTGAGCTCCTGACTGGTTTGTGTTGCTGACACAGGATGGGAAGTTGCATACCCTGTGGAGGGAAGCAGCATTCAGAGCCTGCTGTCTGGAAGCTGGCAGTTTATGTGTTTATCCCTTGTTTCCTGCATCTTGTATGGCTTTCAACTCAGCTGGGAATGCTGCCTGATCACTTGCTCTTGGGTCCTGTTTGTTCTTTCCTTGTCCTGGTTTTGTGCACTGACCTGCTTGCTGAAGGAAGGAGAGACTCCTATCTTTGCTAATTTCTTGGAAATGTTCAAAGATGGTGTTGTCCCCAATCTTTGTATATTTTTTCCTAAGCAAAATCTGAATGCGTGGCTGAATGCTGTCTGAAATCTGAGTCCCATTTCCTTTGCCCAGGTTATTTATTTGTGCATGTTGTGTCCTGGCACACGTTGTCTTCTGTCTCCTCTGGTTACCTGTGCAGGTAGCAGTGATCAGCTCCAGAGGGTTTGATGTGCTACCTGACGGACTGCTCTCACCAGCCTCAGCTGAAGGCCATGAGTGTACAGGGAGGCCTTTCTTTCTTTGAGACAAACAGTGGTTTTCTAATTAAATGTCTGTGTTTCTCCACAGCTGAATGGCTCCCTGGCTGTGACAGGGGCTGTCTGCATAGAGGCACCCCACGGGACTGAGTCCTGGCCACACACAGACCTGCCTTTTTGAGCACCCTGCCTGGTGAAATTGAAGCCAAAATGTGCAGCTGTTTGCTTTACCCTTGTGAGCAAGGCTTGAAAGGCAAATATTTAATGAGTCAAGGGAAAGGTGGAATTTTCCTGTCTTTCTGTTAATTTAAAACAAAATCAGGGCAACTGGCACAGCTCCTTTTTGGAGGCTGTGATGGAGGGGAGGGGGCTTGCTGCCCCTGTGTGTGCTTCACACCCTACCCTTGAGTGTGCTTCAGTTTGTGTGTCCACCAAGGGCAGCACAAGCCAGAGCTTCCTCCCTCCAGCCCCATTCATACCCCTTCAGCTGGTAAAACTGCTATATGGCTCATGATTACTGAAGCAATCAAAGTCTTCTGCTGTAAAGCAGGTGAAGGAGGAAGTGGTCCAGGGGTGAGGAGATAAATAATAAGGGGCAGGAACAGCCTAAGTCAACATTGCTGAAGAAAAGGTAGGTGAACTTGTACCCCAAAGCATCTGGAAGTAGTTGAGAGTTGAGGCTCTGGAAAACTCCAGTCACTTGTGTTTTACATTTCTTTATGTCCCTTGAACCCCTAAATCCAGGCTGAAGGGTATAAGTAGTGAAAGGCATGAAATGAAGCCAGTGAAAAGTCGGTGGTGTGTAGACGTAGACATGCTTAGTTATGAGGAGCCCTGTGTCCTGTCTTAACAGCTTGTAACATGTTGTGCTTTTCAGATTCCCTTCTACACGCAAATGTGCAAGAGTATCCAGGCAGGTGAGATGTGTGAGAAGCTGGTGGGATACTCTGCAGTGTACAAAGTCTGTTTTGGAATGGCCTGTTTCTTCTTTCTGTTCTTCTTGTTCACCATCAAAATTAACAGCAGCAAAAGCTGCCGGGCATACATTCATAACGGGTAAGTATTTGGTTGATTGCTTAATTTCCACTTCTCTTTACAGGTCTGTGCTGCCTCCTTTCCAGTTGGGTGTGATACTAGGCAAAAACAAAACAAAACAAAACAAAAGCTGATTTTACTGCTTTTGTCAGAAGTATTGCAGTCACGTGAAGATCAACTAAAGTGGCCATCAGTCATCAAAAGCTGGTTTTTCTCTTGTTGGCTTTTAAATAGAGATTTCTCATGGTACTTGATTTGAAGGCCCCCAATTCATATTATAACCAGATTATTATTTTTTTTTTGTCTAGATTCTGGCTCATTAAACTCATACTTCTGGCAGGAATGTGCTCAGGAGCCTTCTTCATTCCAGATCAGGACACTTTCCTCAATGGTACATCCCTCTTGTTTTGTTTTGGTGCTTTGTTCTGTACTGTCTTGTGAGTGGTTGTAAATCCTAAATGTCTGATCAATGTGAATATAGCTATATTTCTTCAAGTAAAGCCAGTATAGTCCAGGTGCAAAAGCAATATTTGGAGCTGTTTGGGGGCGAACTCTCTGTGCACAGAGTACGTGGTCTTCATGTGGATATGCCATAAAGAGCATGTGTTTTTCTGACCAAGAGCAGGCAAAATGGGTAGGTAAAAAAACCCCACTGCAATACTGTCTTATATATTCTTTGAGAAGCAGGGAGCTGTAATGGTGCACAAGAAATTGTTCATAACGCAGAGCTGTGTGTTAGTTTGGCCTGTGCACGTAGCTCTGCTGTAGCACAGCAGCCAGGGTCTGTGTTGTGCAGTGGAGAGGAGCCAGCGCTCGAGGGGGCACGGTGACCTGCCAGGAGCTGGTGCTTGCTGCTTGGAAACCTGTGATGCTGCCAAAGAATTTGGGATGCTGTTAGCTTTCAGGCTGGTGCCATAAATGCAGTAAGGTAAAATTAGACTTCTTGGGGCATGTTGCCCTGCTGAGGATGCTGTTCCTGAAGCATTTCCAGTTTTGGAAGACGGCCTGGCACTGCGCAGGCATGCTGGTACTGGCCCAGTGCTTAAATGCCAGTTCTGGGCGGAGGCTTCTCGCAGGCCTCTTGTGGGCTAGGAGCAAAAATCCTGGTGGTACCAAGATGAGTTTGTGCTCTTCAGTTTACCAGGTACTTGTAAGCCTTTGCACTTACAGCTGGAAGGGGGTGGGATCAGTAATGCAAAGGAGCAGTCTGCTCCCTGCTTCTGCTGAAGTTTTGCTTCGTTACCTGTGTTTTGAACACCAGTCTCCTCTAGCCAGGATGTTTAAAAGGGGAAGAGGAAGGAATAACATGGGGGAAGAGAATAGAGTGGGCAGACATACTGTGGGGAAACTAAGGAAAAAGTTTATCTTCAGGTAAACCACTGATAGGTGTAATTCGGCTTCTTGCTCACACTGCCTGTTTGGTCCTCATTCAGTTTGATGCCCCAGAAGTGAAGGGCTCCTTATCCCTATTCCCGTTGTCTGCAAAGTCACAGACGGCTGTATGTGCTTGTCCTTAATATTTAATTACTGTTTGGATTAGGAAGATGTAGCAGTGCAATGCATCGTACTCATGAGCAAGCAACACTGCCTATCATCTTTGCCAGCAACCCTTTTCATGGTGAAAAGTTATTAGGAACTGAAGTGTTTGGGGAAAATGGTAAACAAATTGTTGTGCTGATTAGATTTCTCAGCAACAGTCTAACCTAGTGTGGAGATGCAGTCATAACAAGCTTTCTTCCCCAAATTAGCTCTTGACCTTTCTCTCTAAAGCTGTATTCTGCACGTCCTGCTAAACTGTCTCCTGCTTATTTTTTCTTTGTTTCTTTTTATTTTTTGTGTGTGTGTGTTTTGTTGTTGTTGTTGTTTGGTTTTTGATTTTATTTTTTTTTTAAATAAAAAAGCTTTTGCCATGCTTTCCCAAGCTTAGCCCTTTTTTTAATCATGGAGAAGTATTGCATGCCAGCACTGGGTTTTCTGGGCTGTAGTGTTAAATCCGAACCGGCCATGCTAACCTTATCTATGATGGATCCATAAAACACCCTGCAGTGTCCTGCCTGTGGCAGTGGAAAATCCTGAGAGTCTGGCTATTTCATTATTCACTCAGTTGGTGGTCTGCTTTTTCTTACTCTACCTCTCCCAACTGCACATGAACACCTTGTTCCCTGCCTTTGTTTTTATGTACTTTTTATGTGCTTGCTTCTTCCGTTTTTCGGTTTGTTTGAAGAACAGCATGCTTATCAAGCTCATACAATATGTTTAGCAAAACCAGATGAATAGTGTTTTTGCTTGCTTTCAAATAATGAGTTTATGGTACAGTTAAAAAAAACCAAAATATCTACATGGTCTGCTAAGGTAATGTGTCCTGACTGTTCTGTTCTTCCAGCTCACTTACACAGGCTTTTTTTCAAAAGGAAAACACAATGGTAGGATATGGCTGAACTTTGCTGGTCTTTTCCTTGGTCTTCTTCACTGAAATCAGCTGCACACCTGGAGTCATTTAGAGGCTCCGCACTTCACAGCAGCATAAGATGTATACGCAGCTGAACCTTTAAATAGGTGTCTGTATCCTCAGTGACTTCTGATGTTGCATACCAGATATGTTGCCCAAAGTATCCAGTCAGCCACACAAACACCGTATATGTAGGTCAATGGTTAAGTAGTCAAAAATAACCTGTCTTAAAACTAGACAGTGAATACCAAGTGTTGCCGTCTCTTTGGGAGCGGCTCAGGATGGCATTTGTAAATAGATAAGCTCCACCTTTGTTTTTCTGTGGTAGTACTGGAATCTGGAAGGGAAGAAACTGCCCTTTTTAGTACTGGGTGCCAGTACCTTGCAATTTCAGGGTTTAGATTCCTCTGAAATGCCTTCACACCACTTCCCTCCCGCCAGTCACAAATAAAGGTTTCAATATTTTCTGTCTGAAAAGAGTAACTCATAGTCTCCTCAAATATTCCCTGAATTTGGGAAACTCAGTAAATGTCTTAACAGGCTTATTTTGAAAGTGCTGCAGTTTGTGAGCTGAATTCATCAGGGAGCTGAACTTGGGTTAGCTGAGCTGGCCTTTGAGCTGAAATCTCATCTGCTATATCTGTGGGCTTGAGATACTCCAACTGTGTAACAGCTTCACTGCATAGACAACAGTTTCATTTTATCTCAAAGGAAAGGCATCTGCAGTTTGACCTATTTTCTGCCTCTCTGCCTTGCAGCCTGGCGCTACGTAGGAGCAACAGGAGGTTTCCTTTTCATTGCCATTCAGCTCATCTTGCTTGTTGAGTTCGCACACAAATGGAATAAAAATTGGTATGTGTTGAGCAAGTAGTTATTTGTATAAAATTCTGGTGGACTCCTGAACAGTACATTTCTCATAACAAAGAATTTGAAAGTAGCATGAATGTAATTTCTGAAAAAAGTCAGTTTAATGTCAGTTTTCAGAGCTGTTCATCTTTGCTTCATCTACTTTCTCCTTCACCAGCAAAGATGTTTCCTCCTTCTTGACTTCTACTCTGCTGATTTATTCTTAACCTGAAGTGCTCAGCTTCCAATAAGTAGTAGCGTGTTGGGATGTGAAAATCTCTTACTTCAAGTTGTTTCATATTATATATGAAATTATACCCGCTAAGAAACAGTAGTGCAAGAGAGTAAAACTGGATTTGCAAAATGTAACAGTAAAACTGTGTGCAGTGATGCAAACTGGTAAATACTACTTTTTTTGTCAGTTTAATGCTCATTGGGGTTTTTTTAACGCAGTGAGAACTGCTACTTTCTCTTCTTTGCTTTCATCTAAATATGCAAGATCCCATTACCTACTCACATATACCCCATTTTGGCATTGACTTCATTTCTGGTTTAAGCATATTTGCTATTACTTTCCTAGCCCTTAACCTCTCATCAATTTAAAAATATTTAAATTGTCCTTCCACATATATGCAGGAACTCCTGCCTCCACTTCCACCCTTTGGGTCTCTCATTTCTTCCTCTACAGACTTTTGCAGTCCTCTCTTGTTTTAATTGGCATGCTGACTGCTAAGAAAAGAGTTTTAGCAAACTTTTGGGCTTCGTTAGGTACCTGCTTTCTGGGAGAAAGAGGTGAGATCTCCTTATACTGTGGCTATTTTCACTACTGTTTACTGTAGCTGCTTTTCTATGGATGAAAGATTTCCAGCAGCAGCATTTAACTTTAGCACTCTCTACATTAGATATTATTGTAAAGTAAGTCATGTTTCCACAAAACAACAAGAGTTCATAAAAACCTATGCGCCAAAAAATCCTTTGTCCCAAAACACCTTTTTCAGTTGCCACTCCTAAGAAAACGTGTTCTTTGCAAGAGGTGTTTGGAAGGTGAAGAGAAGAAAACAAGATGGGCCATGCTTTGTAGCTAGGGGAGACTGGTGGGAAAGACGCAGATGGAGAGAAGGCTTTTTGAGCAAAAGGGTGATAAAACTGTCAAGGTAGTGCAAGGGGCAGGATAGAGGCCATGCCAGGCAATATGCCTTTGCTGTCTTTGTGTGAAGAGCACCGCTTGCTCGCTGAACCTGCAGCACACTGAGCTCGTGGTGGGGAAATTCCTGAAGCATGGAGCTGAGATGCACTGACAGGCTGTTCCCACAGATTTAGGAGTCGTGCTGGGCTGTAATTACAGAAGCAGCTGGGTGCGATAATACAGAAGATAAACACTAATGCTAAGAAATGGTTGCCTGTTTCATGGGAAGAACCTTGCAAGACAGAGATAAGGTGCATCTCTCTTTCTCTCTCCCCAGGACTGCAGGTGCAAACCACAAGCAGATGTGGAGTGGTTTGCTTGCCCTGGTCACTCTTATCTTGTACTCCGTTGCTGTGGCTGCCCTGGTCCTCATGGCTCTTTTCTACACGCACTCAGAGGGCTGCATGTACAACAAGGTCCTGATTGGTGTCAACGGTGGCCTGTGTCTCTTTGCGTCACTGGTGGCCATATCGCCCTGTGTCCAGAATCGTGAGTCCACTGACCTCTTCTCTTCTTGGGCTGTGTGCCTGGAGGCGTGAGACATGTTTTGGGCACAAACTCTCACTGCTCTTTCCCCCGTGCCTTTATCTACAATAGGAAGTGCTGTTGCTGGTCATCATCAGCTCAGCTGCTAAACTACAGAGGTGTGAGACATTTTGGGTGTGCCTTCTGACAGTCATACTGTAGAGAAGGCTCATGTGCTGATGGCTGGTAACGTGTTGTGAAGCTTACACAACTCTTGCAGTGGTTGCAGTTGAGGTAATAGCTGTCAAACTCGTTCACCGCTGTTTTACCATTTACTTTTGACTGCATGTGTTTTACCGTCTGTAAAGTTTGGATCTGGAGGAGTTAACACCCGTATTTCACACTTTGGTATGTTTTATGTGTGCCATTGGTATCTTGCACACATTGGACCTGGAAATAGTAGTTTCAGCGACTAACACAAATTTTACAGGCAAATAAAACTATCATGGCAGCTTGTCAGTAGCTTTTGGAAAGCTGGTGCTTTTACTGAGAGCAGAGGAGTGATTCTTTACTTAGGTGGGAATCTTTAATGCCTTTCTAAAACAGCCAGCAGAACTAAGGGACAGAGTTTTTTTGTCTTTACATGCCAGTTGAAGCATATCTAAACTGCCTCAAAGACTTATGAACTCCTTTAAATAAAACATAAAGATACTAATATCTTCTGAAAGATACTAGTGTGCTTGAAAGGGCTTGAATTTATTTTTCAGTTAAAATGTCTGCAAAAATCATGTATTTTCCTCTTTCTTGTAAAGGGCAGCCCCATTCTGGTTTGCTGCAGTCAGGAATTATCAGCTGCTACGTCATGTACCTCACTTTCTCAGCACTATCCAGCAAGCCACCAGAAACTAGTAAGTTACCTAATGCTTTATTTAAGTTCTTTTAGACATGCCATGCATTAAAAGCAAGAATTTAGCAAACCTGAATTAACAAATTCAGGTACAGAGGAGTGCTGGGTTTGGTCTGTTCTGGCCTACACAGAAGAAACTGCAAACATTAAAAATAAATCTGTGCAGCAGAGAGACCATACAATTGGCATTCTCTATGTACCTTAAATGCTTTGGTCTAGGGGAGCTTAACTTACCTTGGCTGAGTTGCATCTGTTGCACCGGAGCAATTCCAGCCTGTTTCCTACAGACAGATTTCCCGGAGTCTTGTAGCCTATTCCTCATCTAGCAAACATGTGTTCTTGTATGATAGGATGAGACTAAACATGTAATTTGTTTGGTCACGTGCTGGGAAGGGAGTTGGAACAAATGGCTCTTGGATACCTCTGAAAGAAGCTGGGTGATCATCCAAAATTTTAGTAGGTGCTGGCCATCAGTGCAGGTACTAAAATCAGTTCTTTTACCCTAGAACTGGTATGCTAGATAGCCATAGTTCTGGACTCCTAATTGAGCAAAAACTTGTGTACCACTCATCTTTTGTTTTGAGAGAAAGTATTCTGAGAAAGGACTTGGAATTATGTTCCAGTTGTTTAAGGTGATGCTGTTCTTCAGCAAAGTTCCTGGACTTACCTTCTGACGATTGGCATTGCGAGCTAGGAGTAAGGAACTCTTTAGTTTTAAGTTCTTCATGCTACTGAAAAACCAGCAAGGCTTTACAAGCCCAACTTGACTGTGTCCATTTCCCAGATAACCATCAGGTTCACATATTTGGACAGGGAGCATTCTTTTCACTTAAAGAAGACTTCTGGTTCAAATTAGTAATGCTGAAAACCCTTCATTTATTATTGCTCAACTTTTAGTGTTGAATAGTTGAAAAAGCAATGACTACAGGAAAATAAGTCTGTTGGCAGGAAGGAGAAGTTTTTGCAGACACCTCCCAAGAAGAAAGGGGAGAGATGAAAGGAAGAATCTCCCTCTGACACACATGTGTAGGCACAGGCACACACACACAAATGTATTCTAGAGCTAAGAAGGGAAAACAGACAGTATTTAGGTGGAAGATTTACTTATGGAGCTTAAGCAGTGTTTTTGAAACAGTATAGAGGTTAATTTAGAGGACATCTGAATTACTCATAAGACTTGAGACTGGAAAAAAAGAACAAAAAAAGAGGAAGAGAGCAATGTATTTAATCATTGGCCTCGTGTTATTGTATGCTTGTGACAGTCAAAGCCTTCAGCAGTTAGGTGTATGCTCTGATGATTCTTGTATGCATTGCTAGTGTGTTTATTGTATTTGTCAGAGTATGCATCAAGCATACTCAGACCTCCTGAATCAGGTGTTCTTCCTTGTCTTCCCAGGCCAGAGAGCTCTCAAGGTTGTCATCTGCTGTCAGAGGTGCTCCTTTCTCCCCTGTCTGTGGGATAAGGTCTCTCATACTGGCCTGTGCAGCTTTCACAGTGGCATGTGCTGGAGAGTGTGTGGTGTGCTGGCACTTACTAAGGTGTCCCATGCCCCATCACTCAGATTTGCTGTAAACTTACCTAATGCTGACTCATTGCTCAAGGAGGAACTTTCAAAGTGGCTGTCTTGCAAATCAGCCACCTTACAAACCAGGTCTGAAAAAAATACAAGCTACAAGTATTTATTTGCAACACCCAAAAAGCAGAGGTGCAAATGTCTTTAGAAGGAATGGACAAACAAAATGTAATGCCTGTTGAACCTGTGCTTATCACAATGTGCCTTAACCTTCTGGTGCCAGACTTGGCTAAAAGGTCTGCCACGCAGCAGACTTCCCTTGCTGCAGGGACATTGCTGATGGACACAAGTGGGGAATCCTGCACATCTCTGGCCAAGGTGCTCCAAAAGGTTTTGTCACGCCTTCCTTTGTTCCCACCTCTGCGCTGTCCCTGCTGTGTCCTGATAAAGCTGTTTGTGCAGCTCTGCAGGCCTGTACAAAGTCCTCCTCCACCAGCTCGGGGACTGAATTTTAGTTTATTTTTAATCTGGGTGTACCCTTTTTCTGCATTTTGCCCTCAGCCCTTAAAAACAGTTGTGCTGTCCCAGTGGGAATGCCATGTAGCTGCTGGAAAAAAAGAGGAGGTGGGAACACAGTTTGCCTTACTCAGCATCGGCTCAAAGAGCTTTTTATCAGAGATAAGGTGCAGCTATGATCCCTTGCTTTGGGCTGGTGCTGCAGGCTACTCCTCTGCCTTGCCTTGACTCCAAGGAGACACCAAAAACTCAGATGCATCCTGGAACATCAAGTACTGAATTTTTCAAGTACAGTCTTTTTCTTTGTCTGCTCTAGTCAAAAAAGAAACTTTAGTACCCTACTAAACTGCATTTTTGTTTTGCTTGAAGCACAGAATTTGCAAGGTCAGATTTACATGATATTTTCTGTATGATCTTTTCAAAAGATGGATAGAAACTGAAATGTACCTACACACTGAAGTAATAAAAGTATTTCACTGAAAACCTTTAGTCTGACAACTACTTTGAAAGACATTGAAATGAGCTTTGCTAACTGTTCTTTTTGTGTGTTTTGTTTTGTGGAGTCCTGGATGAAAACAATCAGAACATCACAATTTGTGTACCTGAATTTAGCCAAGGCCTGCACAGAGATGAAAACCTGGTTACTGGCCTGGGCACTACCATTTTGTTTGGCTGCATTTTATATTCTTGGTAAGTCTGGGCTTCACAGTTGCCTCACTGAAAATGCAATGTCGTGGTCCAACTAACAAAGGTTTATACGTTCTCATGCAGACAAAGTAATGGGGAAAAGTAGAGCAGAACTGAGCTGGAAGGTTCGTATTCTTCTGTTTCAGAATTTTTAGATGTTTTAGCCAAAAATGTTCAACAAGTTAACAAAACTTCTGAAACAGTTATATTTCATTAAATCTAAATAGAGCGATTTACATATGGAGGTGGAGGGGAAAAAATTCTGGCTGTCCATGATCCCAAACAGTTTCAGGGTGCTTTGATTCTGCATTTACTCTTTCTAAAAGGAAAAACTCTATGCAGTTATATCCATCTAAAAAAGCTATCTGAAATTTCTGTAGCCACCTTACAGAGGCTGTGACTGTTCCTTTAAAACAAACAACTGTTTGGGAGGGCTTAGGGCTTCCTGTGAGCAAATAATGAGCACATCAGGATTTGCCAGCAATCTCCTGCTCTAAAAATGCCTGTTGGTGCACATATAGTTGTGATACTCACCTTGTATTATTGCAGCTCACATCAGTAAATTAAGTCATGCTGCAGGATGGGGCCGGAGAAGCTGCAGGTGATTGAAAAGTGACATACCCCTTGTTTTGGCTGTGCAGGCTGCCAGGAGACAGTACTGCCTGTCTGCTGCACAGGTGTTTGAGCAGTTTCTGCTGCTGAATCAGTCCACTTCAAAATTCACATGCTAAAACTCCTTCATAAGTTGGCAGTGAAAACAAGAGACTTTCTGAAGAGGTACCACAGCTACTCTTATGTTACCAAATATGCGTATGTGTTGCATTTAATTCTGATACGGAATATATGGATGTCATATGCCGTGGATCTAGTTCACATTAGAACAGTATTTCCTCAAGAAGCTGTTTCAGGAATGCAGACAGCCTTCATGTAGCCTGCAGGGGAAGTGCACCACTTAGCTGGGAGGTAAGGCCTTCAAGGGGAATGAAGTGTGGACTGGACGAACGGGTAGTGA